TGTTCTGCCAACATTTCCACCTGGCTCCACGTCTGCACAAATCCTTTCATCTCCTCTTCGCATGACCTCTTCCATGTCATCCTCCTACTGACGACCAACTCACCGCTTTCCGTCCGGGTTCCACTCGAGCAATGGCCTGTCGTGTGATGTCACTTGATAGTTTTCCCAGAGTATGGCCAATCCACCTCCATTTCTTCCCACATATTTGTTGCGCGATTGGTTGCTAGTTGGTTCACTCCCAGAAATCCCTGTTGCTGATCTTTTCTGGCTACCTGATCTTCAGTATCGAGCGAAGACAACTGTTGATGAAGGTTTGTAGTTTGTTCGAAGTGACCTTAGTAACGCGGCGCCAAGTCTCTGATCCGTGTATTTGCATTGAATTCATATTGGAGTGTTAGTAGACCCTATCAAATACTGAAAATTTTGTGCAAAATATTCAAAAGTTACTAACATTCTAATGTAGCTCTTCTTAACACATATATGAAGGGATTATGACGGATTAGAGTAACATTGTCAATGGATAGATTACCAGGTTGTTAGCTTGAGTCACTAATCTGGAGTTGAGTTTCATGAAATTTAATTAATCAGTTGATTTCCTCAGCTTGTAAGATATCTTATCCGTATAAAGAACGATAAGAACGTAAGATTACGCTAAGATCATAAAGATAAGCCCTTCTGACTATAACATGAACATTAGTGAAATGACATGTTTTTGATAACCAAATGAATTCATTAAAAAAAGGCTTTTTTGATTTAATATCAGTAAAAAGTTTGAGCATTGTGGATTAGATTAAATAAAGTATAATTATATTTGAATAGTTTACACACAATGATAAGTTTTGTTATTGGTAATATTTCGAGCAAAATTACTGCCCGTGTTCACACCACTGTTGGAATTGTTTTATTCACACATTTATGATTTGTATTCACATATATAGTTCATTATTATTATTTTGTTCATTCATGTTTTGTGTGTGCATATGTGTGTTCAGAATTATACTCCATGTGTGTTCAGAATTATACTCTACATTCATTCATGTGTTTGTATTTAGAATTATATTCCAAGTTGTTGATAGTTGTACTGAGTCACCCTTGTTACATGTATCCGGTGTGACTTTAATGAATATCGATTCTGTTATGAGTCTTTCTTTCCATTTGTTCATGTTTGTTTTTAGAATACATACATTGTCCCAATCGATATTGTGGTTTTTGTCCCATGCATGTGCAGCTATGGATGAATTTTTTTCAAGATTTTTGTAGGCTTGTGTCCCTGTTGGTTGACCTTTAGTTAGGCGTTTATGTTCATTCACTCTTATTTTGAGTGATCTGGACGTTTGCCCCACATATTTAGTTGGACAGTCAGCACAAGATATTTTATAAATCAAATTGTTTTTATCCATCATTTTTATGGGATCTTTTAGTTGATTTATTTTATTTTTGATTAGATTTGTCGGTTTAAAGGTTGTTCGAATACCGATATTTTTGAGGTTTCTTTGTATTGCCTCTGATGTACCATTTTTATATGGTATTACGACTGTTTTTCTCCATTCTTCCATCTTATTATTCTCCAGTTTTACCCTATTTTTTCTCTTTTTTATATTATCCTTTATAAATTCTTTAGGGTAGTTGTTTTCGAGTAACATTGTGAATAGAACTTTTATTTCTTTACGCTGGTCCTCTGGTGCTGTTGTAAGTCTACGTATTCTATCTGCAAGACCCTGTATTAATCCTCGTTTTACCGAGAGTGGATGAGCTGAGTAATAGTCAAGGAATCTTCCAGAATGTGTGGCTTTTCTATATATCGTTGTTTTTATGCTACCATCTGTCATTCTTTGTAGCTTGCAATCTAACATGGGTAGTTCTCCAATTTCATTCTCTAATTCCATAGTAAATTTTATTGAGTCGACGTGTTTGTTTATGTGTGATAAAAGTTTCTCAGCATCGTTTTTTTTCACTATTACTAGCGTGTCGTCTACATATCTCCACCAACATTTTAGTGATGATCTGAATGGTTTAAGGGCATTCTCCTCCCAATAATCCATGAAAATGTCAGCTATAATTGGTGAGATAGGCGATCCCATGGCTACTCCCTCATTTTGTTGGTATATTTTTCCTTCGAATGTGAAATATGTTGTTGTCAGACAGAATTCTATCCCTTTTATTATTTCTTCTACGGATAACTGTGTTCTGTCTTTCAGGCCATTATCTTCATTTAGTTTCTCTTTCAGTGCAATCATGGCCATTTGAATGGGTATTTTCGTGTAAAGACTGTTTACATCAAAGCTAACTAGTATTTCTTCCTCCTCTATTTTAGTGGTTTTTATTCGCCTCACTAATTCAAATGAATCTACTATTCTAGCTTTTGAGTTGTTTCTTGTCGGTCTTAGTATTGTCGAGAGAAATCTGGATAGCATATACGTTGGTGTGTTTCTGAAGTCTACAATCGGTCTTATTGGATATCCCTCTTTATGCAATTTTATCTTACCATATATCCTAGGTACATTACAGGATTTTGGCATAATTTCAAACCATTTTGACTTACCGATTACTTCTTTCATTTGTCTAACTACCTTTGCTGTTTCTTTCATTGTTTTGTTGATGATCGTTTCAGCTGATTTAGTCATTATGGTATAGGGTCCAGATTGTAGATGTTCATTCATCTTTTGATTATATGTTGTTTTGTTAAGTAATACTGTTGTGTTTCCTTTGTCTGCTTGAGTAATGACAATGGATTTGTCTGCTTTTATGTCTTGAAGTGCTTTTAGTTCCTCTTTCGTTATATTTGGTTTTTCTGCTTTTTGCTTTTTCAATGTAAGTGCACATTGTGCTCGTACCAGTTCAGCTTTTTGCTTGTCATATCCTTCGAGTGCTGTTTCAATTGCAGGTATGATGTCTTCAGGTTTTAATCTTTTGTTGCTGATATTGAAGTTCATCCCTTTCATCAATACACTTTCCTCTGCTTCTGTTAACTTTCTGTCTGACAAGTTTACAATCCAATTGGCTTTAGTTACTTGTCTGTCATTCGGAGTTTTCGCTATCATGAGTTTATTAAATTTTTTGATTTGTTTCTGCTTTGTTTTTTCATAAGTAGTTTCTTTTCGTTTTTGTGCAACTTGTAGTATGCTTTCATACTTTTCTTTTTCGATTACTTCTTTCAATTTTTCTTTTATTTCATTAATATCTTTCCTTATCGTGAATAGCTTTTGTATAATTCCACGTAGGTTTTCTTTGATGCATACTTTTGAGGCATGTGTGAGCGCTGCATTTGCTTTATCAGTAGATATTGGTGATTTTAATTTCATGTATACAGGAATAATTCCATTTTTAAGGCATCTGATGTTGAAAATTCGATGGTTCATAAATCGAGATTCAGCTTGATATAAATGTGTGAGTTTGTTGGCCAGTCTTTTAATGGGAAGACCGTCAGTTGAATTAATATCAGTAAAAAGTTTGAGCATTGTGGATTAGATTAAATAAAGTATAATTATATTTGAATAGTTTACACACAATGATAAGTTTTGTTATTGGTAATATTTCGAGCAAAATTACTGCCCGTGTTCACACCACTGTTGGAATTGTTTTATTCACACATTTATGATTTGTATTCACATATATAGTTCATTATTATTATTTTGTTCATTCATGTTTTGTGTGTGCATATGTGTGTTCAGAATTATACTCCACATTCATTCATGTGTTTGTATTTAGAATTATATTCCAAGTTGTTGATAGTTGTACTGAGTCACCCTTGTTACATGTATCCGGTGTGACTTTAATGAATATCGATTCTGTTATGAGTCTTTCTTTCCATTTGTTCATGTTTGTTTTTAGAATACATACATTGTCCCAATCGATATTGTGGTTTTTGTCCCATGCATGTGCAGCTATGGATGAATTTTTTTCAAGATTTTTGTAGGCTTGTGTCCCTGTTGGTTGACCTTTAGTTAGGCGTTTATGTTCATTCACTCTTATTTTGAGTGATCTGGACGTTTGCCCCACATATTTAGTTGGACAGTCAGCACAAGATATTTTATAAATCAAATTGTTTTTATCCATCATTTTTATGGGATCTTTTAGTTGATTTATTTTATTTTTGATTAGATTTGTCGGTTTAAAGGTTGTTCGAATACCGATATTTTTGAGGTTTCTTTGTATTGCCTCTGATGTACCATTTTTATATGGTATTACGACTGTTTTTCTCCATTCTTCCATCTTATTATTCTCCAGTTTTACCCTATTTTTTCTCTTTTTTATATTATCCTTTATAAATTCTTTAGGGTAGTTGTTTTCGAGTAACATTGTGAATAGAACTTTTATTTCTTTACGCTGGTCCTCTGGTGCTGTTGTAAGTCTACGTATTCTATCTGCAAGACCCTGTATTAATCCTCGTTTTACCGAGAGTGGATGAGCTGAGTAATAGTCAAGGAATCTTCCAGAATGTGTGGCTTTTCTATATATCGTTGTTTTTATGCTACCATCTGTCATTCTTTGTAGCTTGCAGTCTAACATGGGTAGTTCTCCAATTTCATTCTCTAATTCCATAGTAAATTTTATTGAGTCGACGTGTTTGTTTATGTGTGATAAAAGTTTCTCAGCATCGTTTTTTTTCACTATTACTAGCGTGTCGTCTACATATCTCCACCAACATTTTAGTGATGATCTGAATGGTTTAAGGGCATTCTCCTCCCAATAATCCATGAAAATGTCAGCTATAATTGGTGAGATAGGCGATCCCATGGCTACTCCCTCATTTTGTTGGTATATTTTTCCTTCGAATGTGAAATATGTTGTTGTCAGACAGAATTCTATCCCTTTTATTATTTCTTCTACGGATAACTGTGTTCTGTCTTTCAGGCCATTATCTTCATTTAGTTTCTCTTTCAGTGCTTTTTTGATTGTTCTGGAAGCAATCACTACAAAGCAAGCAAACACAACTGCATAAAACTAACTTATAATTCACATTAAAAGAAGCAGGAAGGAGTAAAACATTCACTACTCACCTTGAATCGACTATTTATATTTTCAAATGTATCAATATATGGAATGGATTCATACCACGTTAGTCCACTTATACATTTCTTTATTAAACAACTTAATAAACAATATCCAATAGTAAGGACTGAAGTACTAAAAAGAGAAAGATTTTTTTAAAAAAGAACCAGTAAAGAGTGCAGCTTGCATTACAAATTACTTAAAAGTCTAGATAAATAATAAATGATATGTCCTATCTACGTTCTTAATCTGATTAAAAACAAGATGTACATTATTTAAACAGGTATCACTGACCTTTGCCAATCATAAATATTCCACTTTACAATTCTGAAATATAAGTTACATATTATTAATGATCTCCTGCGCTCCAAATGTAAGATAAGGCTTTAACAGGACAGCTGTACTCCTTGAAATCATGGTCATGGTTGACCGCGTGACAGGAGCCGCGTGACATTACCTTTCTCCCTTGTAAATGTGTGCGAAGCTCTATCTTAGAACACCTCATCGACTCCTGTCACGCGGTCAACCCTGACCATGATTTCAAGGTCTTATATAGAATTCATGCCAACTTCCCGCGTTTTCTTCGTTACAGACTTCTAAAGACAGCTGAGGCCTTGGCAATTCATGACTTTAAGCCAGACCTTTGTGTACAAAAGAAGTATGTACAATCCCTACTGCTGCCTTGGCCGTAGAGGGATAGACATTTATTTATTTTATTATTCTATGTACTTTTCCCTTATTACTTCGATTATTATTATTATTATTATTATTATTATTATTATCATTACGACTCTCATTCTGAATCTTTTCCACTTGATCTACTTGACATTTTAAACCAAAAATTATTCATGTGTATACTTTTTATCTTTATTTTTACAATATTAAATTCTATGTTATCAAATTTCACACCATGTTACGTAACATTTTACATTCGTCTATCAATCTTACAATTATATGTCTCTCCCCAAAATCTGTACACCTAATGTATTATCTTATATATGACATTAATTATTGTTCCACTTGACTTAAACTATGAACCTAATCACAAATATTTTAAATTTATTTCATACTATTATTATTTCATGTATTTACACCTTTGACCTAATTCCCTCACCGGATATAATTTCTTTATAAAACCATATATATACGATTGTACAGCTTGATAATAAATTCGTTGAAAAGAGTCTCTTCGCTGAAAATTGTGTTCTTAATGCCTAGATAAATGAAGGAAGTGACCTCTTTCAAATTTATTCCGTTGATACAGATTAGTGGTCGATGTTGGTTGGTTACCTCTGTGTTCTCTATACTCATTTAGAGTCCTGTCCTAATTGCTTCTTCCTTCAACTTGTTGGTTTTCGCCTGTAATTCTGCGGTTCTGACATCTCAGCCCCCACAGTCTTCCTAATAATTCACTTCGCCATAATTAGGAATATCATTAGTGATAGTAAGCCACCTTGTCTTGCTCCTGTGTTCACTTTGAAGACTTTGCTGATTTTTCCTCTGTGGATCACTTGACATATGGAACTGTCCTATAGCTGTTGAATGACAGTGGTAAAGATTTGGGGCAATCCGTACTATTGAAGTAATTTCCATATGACTTCTTGGTCAACGCTGTTTAAAGCCTTTTCTAAATGTACGAACCTCGCTTCGTTTACGAGCTTTCCAGCCAGTTTCAAGCCTGGAAAAATATGGAAGGTTGGGAGTGGGATTATCGACGCAACTTCGAAAAAACAATCCAACCGCTACAGTAACTTCAAAACACATATACACCTTCAGTATAAATATCTGCCGGTAAGTTTAGTGAAACCGATTACGTTTATTTTAGAGCATCAGTGTTTAAATATTTGGTCTTTTCAAATTAGATTCAGAAATTTTTGAAAATCAGCATGTCTGATTTAAACGGAGTAAATAATTATATAACGTTTTGGAATAAATTCTGTCTTAGATTTCATTCCTGCTAAATGCGGATTTTTTAAAATAGATTTATTTGTCAATATTGTTGTTTTTAAGATTCATTGCGTTAATTTATTTTGATTGTAGGTTAAAATAGTGCAAATAGCTTTTTTTAGAAACTAGCGCTAGAAAAACGCCATCTATAAGTGAACCTCTAATCTAGTAGATAAACTGCGTTGATATTAAGAGATAACAAGGATTACTAGGTGGTCTTGGGGAACGAGCACAAGATGGATATGGCTCATAAACATTATTTTGAGTACTCAGTCCTCATGCAATGAATCCTGGTTTCAAGCATCACTGCACTGACTTCAGTCTAGCAAACTCAATATCGTTGTTAGTCTTCATAAAATGAGTACTGCCCATTGAACAGTTGATAAATTTGTAACAAATCGCCAAGTTTTATTTTTTTTATTTTGATTACAGCTTGATTCCACACTGTATTTTTGGGACAAGTATGGAATTTTCAGCGTGGATATCGGTAGCCCAAATTTCGCAGGCCGACCATAGATATCAGGTGTGCGTCGGCGTGGGCTCGAACCCCGGACCATATGCATGGTCGGCCAGAGTCCTAACCACTGTGCCACCGACGCGCAAAAACGGGTTTGCACTGCTGTTAAATTATTTTTATTAATCTGTGCCACCGATGATAGCTAACATACAATAATGCTTATCTTTCCTACTGTTTAGCGGATAAATTAATACTTTATACCCCATAAACGACCTGCCACTAAGGTCGAGGGTGGGTAGATTTTGGCTTTCCTCTCACAATCCCCTCATGTGGCCAAGAGTTCATAATCTTTCTAGGGTAAGTCCTATTCACTCACTTTATGCGGTGGAAGTGTTTCTTACCATAGTCAATGGACAACTGAGGAAGTTCGGTGCTTACAACCGGACTAATAGACATATTAGTCTACTTAAGACTGCTGGAAAACCCTGACTTTAGACGTACTCGGGTTCCAGAATTCGAACAGATCGAATGTCAGATGGACCTGTTTTTGACATTAGCGACCATGAGAACACAGCTCCACTTCCTCGTGAGTCAGAGTTTAACCCTTAAAACCACCACCTTCTTCGTTTTAGGTGCACAGACAAAATTCCAGAGCTCACAAAAGCTATGATATTTTTTGTAACTCATCTCTTGGTGCCCATAATGTATCAATTTGTAAAATAAAAACATTAAAACGTACCAAATAATTACAACAATGAGCGTGTACATTACAGACTCACGGATGCCACAAAGACTAGGATGGAATAGATTAAAAACGTAATATTCTTCCCCCTCATTACTGACACGATGAAAGGCTGGCTAAAACGAATTAATTTTATTAATACAACTTACTAGACTGCCACAACCAAGGACCAACTTCGCCGCATTTACTGAATCGTTAAATAACAACACATATCCATCACCTCGAAATAAGTTCAAATAAGTGTACATTACTTTTGTATGAGAGTGAAAAATTTGCAAATGACCCTATTTCTGAAATTTCATCATCACCAACTGATATAACTGTCTGATTTATAAACATTGAAGTGTTTCCATACGTTTTGAAACCACAAACACTGAAATAATAGTCCAGCTTGTCGTCTGATTTATCAGAAAATCTGAGGCAGTTTTCGAATTTGATGAATATGTACTTACAGTATACCAGAAAGTCCTCGAAGAAACGCGATGCTCTTCGTTACATTGCAATTTTTAACAGCTTTAACTTGTGTTGCATTGTCTTCACTAGCATTAATGAGGCAAATACACAAACAAGAAAAATACAAAAGCAGCAACGATCCACTCGTCATAACAATCAGTAACCGATTATTAAAAACCAACAGTAGCACAACACTCAACTAGCCGCTTAAACATTCAAAGTTCAGAATAAATTATAGATAGGGTGGTAACTGTTTTTATTTGAACTTGCTTCTAAAACTCAATGCAGATTCGGCCCAACACATTTCTAAGTGCTGAATTTTCAACCAACAATTCAGACTGTTTATGAAAGTCATGTCAAACTTTCTCCAATAGCTCTATGAGCTACAATACGCTAGTTATGCCACATAAACATGAAAGTATTGACAAAATATAAATATACTTCGTGGAATGTATGGTGAACATAAGATAGGATTTCTGTCATGTATACTTACATACACACGCTTTACTAATCCATATGAGTCTTGCTCTTCTGATCCTATGTCGTCTGCTTTTTCCTTATTCTATTCAGTTTCTAATAGAAGCCCACAAAGCCACAACTGGATTGGAATTAAAAAGCACTTAGAATTCTCATGTTCAACCATTGGTAAATTCTTCATACAACCAACTTGCCTTCATTCAGGCTGAACGAAAGCTTCTGGTCTACCCTTTGAGAACGTCGCTGAAAACCTCTCGCAAGGTATGCGTCGATGGTATAGCTGTTAGGACGCTCGCTGACCATGCACATGGTCCGGGGTTCGATCCCCGGTCGGCAACGCACTCCTTTATCTCGCTAAGCCAGAAATAACACTGGTAAAGAGGAAGTGTTGGGCATAAGGCTAGCAACCCTATCCTGTAAAAATAATCACCACTACTACAAAAACTTCAAGCCATTAGCTTAAGGTTCTATGTTTTACTGGGAATGTAAGGGAAAAATAGCATGCAAAGACTGTTTCAGTTCAAAACAACACCAAATACTGAGAGCCATGGCGTTGCTTCTTGAAATATGGAGGCTTTTTGTAGTAAATTAATTTCATCTAAGGGGAGCAATAACCATTGCGCTGACACAGATGATGCTGTTAGCTACATTTCACAGTCCAACAGTAGTGTTTGCATGAATTTACCAGAAAACCACAACCATAGTGCTTCCAAGCCCAGTGAAAAGGATGAGCGCAAAAGGCATCAAGCATTCACAAAACTAGTTCCCGCACGGTCAGCACAATCCACCAACGCTGTGCTTCTTACTCTCCCTCACGACTCAGAGGGATAACAAACAAGCAAATGCCAAGTGGAAGAGTAGATGCTACTCAGCAGAGAAATGTTGCCTTTCACAATAAGTGAAGCAGAACGATTCCGGGAAGGCAGGAAAATAGCAATTTCCCACTGCAAGAAGACCAGCTGTGACAAACCGGTTCTTATTGGCTGCTGCATCATTCCCGACTAGTTTGAAAAATATAGATAATCAGAACTGAACTCCAAGTTCGGATATGACCTTGTTCAAATTATGTATCTGTTATAGGCAGGCTACCTCCTATGAATGCGATGGTTATTACTTCTCGCTGTCTTCATGAAATCAGTCAAAAGGCGACGTCTGTAGCAAATCAGTTGATTTACTGCTTTCTAAGTCACATTTAACTGGAAAACTGACGGTGATCACGTCTTTCTATCTAGCCGGTCCTATCAAGAGATAGTGTGCCAAATAGGAACTGAATAAAAGACACCACAACAGCCAAAAAATCTTGACTGCTAGCGGTTTTCGACTAGTCGGTCGGAGACTTAGTTATCTCTAAAAATCTGTAGGTGGAGCTTGGAAACACCAGGCCAAACTAATAGTATTATGCTCATACAGCCACCCCTTCGACCACCATTTTCAAGCTATCTCTCCTAAATGGAGTGTTACAGCGTGACTTGAAAGATGCCATAGTCACCCCCATCCAAAAAGGAGGATCACGACAAAACCTTTCAAACTACAGGCATATTGGTCCCACCAGCACTTTAATCAAGACACTGGCAAGAATCACCAAGAAAAGTATCATGGCATATCCGGAAAACAACAATTTGTTATCCAGAGCTCCGCAAGGCTTCCGAGGCAATCTCTCATACCTGTCAAACCTTCCCAATTCAGGAGAAAGCTAAATCAGATCAAGAGAAGACAGAAGACCGATTGATGCCGTCATCATGGACTTCAGCAAAGGCTTCGATAAAGTTCCTCACAAAAGATTGCTCATGAAGTTGGGAACCCTTGGTATCAAAGACAGTTTAATAAACTGTATTACGGAATTCTCCATAGATAGGAGGCAGAGGCTCAGGATCGACTTCAACCTCTACTCCTTGACAGTACTGAAAGGCGGAATGCCACAAGGCACGTACTCAGACCTCTCCTATTTATTTTGTATATCAATGAGTTATCTCCGCTCACCGATCCCCCTATGGTCTTGCATGCCGATGACTTAAAAATCTGGATAGAGCTGATGGGTAACAGTGATACGCTTACTTTGCAAGAGGACCTCAACAAACTGTAACAGTAGTCCAGAGAACGAATGCTCTCGATAAATGAAGCGAAATGTGCAATCATGCACATCGGACACGTAGGCATTGTCTCCTACGAACTAGAGGGAATAACGCTTCCACCAGTTCAGGCGCATTGGGATTTGGTTGTCATAGTAAGCCACGATTCAAAATCTACAGCACACTGTCGAGCGGCGGCTGCACTTGGTTTCAGATCCTTATGGGTTGCCCGCAGAGCCTTTACTAGAGTCACTAGAGATATGTACACCTCCTTATATACATCTCTGGCGAGGTCTAGAGTGTAAAGGTGCATCCAGGCCCCCAGTTCTTGCCTTAAAGGGGACTAACATATTCTAGAAAGGATCCAAATGAAGGCAATACGCATGACTCCCGGGATGACTAATTTATCATACGAGGAAAAACTAGACAGTTTAAATCTCTTCTCCCTGTCATACTGTAGACGGAGAGGAGATTTAATCACAATGTTTAAAATCTCTAGTAACGAGTACGGACCTGACCATTCTCTATTTATCTTCCCACTAGGTCGGAACACCTTAGAGGACACAGTAGGAAGGTTCAAAACTGAGAAGAAATCATACTAATAATAATATATTTCTTCTTGTTCATGCAGGAACACACCAATTGTACAGGCATGGATAAGTTATCATATAAATTACACATAATTTGATGTATGATGAATTTACAGTTTGGTTGTTCTTTCTGACATTAGAGTCAGTAGGAACAGTCTGCTATAAAGTCTGTTTGTGTAGCACATAAAGAGATATAGAAATATTGGGCTGGACTTATTTGTCACGTACTCTAGAAGTTACGTTTGGAATTTTTTTTGCCAATAATTTTTAATAAAATTGTATTATATGTTATCTAGATTGAGGGAAATTCCCACTTTTTGGCTGGTTATGTTGGTGTCCGCCTCATGTGATCTGACTGCGACACACTTTTAGCATATTGTGTAAGGCATGGTAAGTTTGGCGGTTTTCTAATGTTCAAACCATGCTTGTCTACTTTCAGGTTGGCTGCGAAGTATGCAGGGATTGGTTACCCAAGACGAGGCAACGGATGACCAATAGGAGTGCCCTTCCCTCTTATCTACTTGTATTGCGATTGGTTGTAAATATAATACTTGACCTTGAGTCCTCGTTCTTACTAGCACGCAACACTTGTGTGATCACACTGCTAACGTGCGCTTTGCTCTCTGTTTCAGATCATTGCTTGACGAGTGGGATTACATAAATGGCGAGCCTGCCAACGAAAAAACTTTCTTCTTCTAAGTCTCGACCCAATGAGGCTTCCAAGAACACTTCTCCTGTCAAACAGACAGCATCTCACGAGGTGGATCAATTGGCTGAAGTGAGGGCTCCAGCTTTTCAGTCAAATCAGCCTGCTTCGCGATATGTCCATCCCTTGCCGCATACACTGGAGGTGGGTGATGATTTCGAGCTGTGGTCGGACAAGGTGTGCCGATACATTGATCTGATGAACGTGCCTCACCCGAACGCATTCGTCATCGATTCTGTTGGACGGTCCTTGGAAATGTACACAATTGGTTTGGATTACGTGCATATGCCCTTGACCACCCTGTTGAGTACTCTAAGAGCACGTATAGTGCCACCAATACCTCCCATTGAAGCGCTGAAAAGATTCAGCGAGTGCAACCAGAGACAAGGTGAATCTATCAACCAGTTCACCTTACGTCTCCGCAAGCTTGCGCGTCAAGCTATGCAGGACAAGACACATTCAGAGGTTGAAAGCGCTATATATTCCAAGTTCTTGCAGGGCGTCGACGTCCGTTACAGGAAGGACTTCAACTTGCACACTCCAGCATCCATGACAGAAGCGGAAGCTAGGGCACGCCTAATGGAAAGCCTGGAAGAGCCAGGAACCACATGCCCACAAGTAAACGCAATGGGATATCAGCACACAACAACAAAGCATGCACAGAATCCTACACCACCGTGGAAAGGACGCCCACAGTCGCAATCCACTTCAAGAAACGATTGCTACTACTGCAGGCGGTTTGGTAAGCTTGCTAGGAGTTGTGGTCACAATGCAGGTGAGTCACATGTCGATATGAATTGTGTGCCTACTGTAAACCTAATCGGTGTCACCTCCTCCCCGAAAGTTGTAGGTTATATAGGCGGGAAAAAGTGTGTTATGTTAGTTGACTCAGGAGCAACTTGTTCTGTCGTACATTCCTCATGTGTTCCAGAGACGTTTAGGCCAACAATAGGGACTCACAATTTGCGGCTTACGACAGCCAATGGAGATTGCATGCAATCCCAGGGACTGGTCCTGCTGCCACTTAAATTGGGAACACTGTCACTTCAACACAATTTCATCATTTCTACCCGGGTGCCGTGGCAGGTAATCTTGGGAGTCGACCTCCTGGAAAAGCTGTCGGGAATAATAGATTGTAGTCATAGGACTCTTATACTGAAGGACTGTTCCATCCCATTTATTGTAGGGAACGACAAAGAGCACGGCACTTTTGGCGTGCAGGGAGATGCTAAGAGTGAGAAACAGCGAATGCTGACGACTATAGAACCCCTACCATCGGAAACGGCTGCCAACTTTAATAAAATGTTAGACAAATATGAGGACTGTTTTGACTGGGATGGAAAAAGCCCGGGAAGAACAAAACTGGTC